GAAAGCCAAATCTATAAAACCGATGACAATTCAGTGATCAAACGCACAGAACAATGCAATTACCAAGCACAATTTCAGTAACCCCTTTCCTCCTCTATCATTGATTCTTGCCATTTCCCAGCAATCGCACTGTTCACCAAATCAAATTTTGAGCTCATTCAAGAGTTTAGCAATTGAATTCTTAAGCATTCAACACAGCCAGACATTCAGTTCAGTTACACACTACTCTATCATATACAATATTTACCAATACTTAAACTGTAAAAATACTAACTCGTTCTGGAGCTAGGTTCACCGCATTCGGATCATAATGCGCAGACCGCGGACGACGTCTTCGATGCGCTGACGAACTACGCCTGTCCGCAGCGCCGCCCCGGCCCCCGCCTTCTGCTGACGAGATTGTTGGTGGTGCTCTGAATTATTGTTTTCTAAATTTTCAGATCAATTTTCAGGTCAATCTCTTATTACTACGTTATCAAATGTCTTAATGCCCATAACAATTGTAATTCTTCCATACAAATTTTCAGTGAGAACATGAAATTTAGAATTCTTTTTCCGAAATTTTCGAAATGAATGAATCACAAATTTTTGATGATGTCCACAAAAAATGCCTTTCATTTCAATTCATTTACCTATTAGTCACAGTTGTGATCTTTAATAATGGTTATTAGTAACCAATGAACAATAAAATCGAATTAAATGCACGATTGAATGGTATAATCAAAATAAAAGTATTCTATTAAATACACGTTTCATATCGTCACAAAAACGCAAATAAATTCTCGCCGTGAACGAAAACGAAACAACTGCAAGATCAGTGACAGAAACGGATAAGTTTCATGCATCATATTAATAATGCCACCTCAAACAACCAGTTTTACATCATTTCTTTTGAATCATAAAAACATTGTACCGAAAAGGTACCGTATCATCTCATAGTATGATAATTAAAAAATTTAATGATGCTTCAATGAACTGACTTCGTATCCGAAGAGGATGAACAGCAAGGATCAGGTTGTACAGATACCAGTGGATTGTCTGTATTATTATTTATAATATTACTATTGGCCGTTGATCGAGATCTGGATGAGCGCAGTATATTGAAAATACTTCTAGAATTATAAAATTTGAGTTGATGAAGTACACAAAATAACACTGTAACAGATATCTTTTCAGGTGCAAAATAACAACAATTACTTCGAGCTCTATTAAAACACCCACTTTATGAATGAAATGATCGATATGAAAAACAACTAAACCAACAATAGGAGGATTCAATATGATTAATACACAATAAACTAGGATTGGATCGGGGATTTTTGAAGTTGGAAGTCTTCTGAATGCTACCCCGAAGGATCTCGGGCCCAGGGTGGCCCCGTATCAACCGTAGAGGTGAATACAGCGGCGGCCCCGAGGCTAGGGCCTCTGTTGTTGATTCTGTGGAGGATAAGTCGGAGGCCCCTGAAACCTCGAAAGTGGCGGTGGGATCGGGAGCCGCTCAAATCTCGAAAGTGGGGATATGGTCGGAAGCCCCTGAAACCACGAAAGTGCGAGGTCTGGGCTCCCGAGGGAATGAAATAGGGTCAGATGCAAGATTCAACCCTAAAATAAACCGTGATATTTCACAAACAAATAGTTCGCATAAATGGATGATCGTATGACAATAATGAATAATCAATCTATTCATTGTGATAACACACCTGGACGAAGTCAGGTTCGGGTGCCAAGAAAGAGCCATATCTTCAACGACTGCCGTTGACAATTCACTGTCACCCACAACATTCTTCGCTTTAGTCCGCGTATCACTCGACTGCTTTCTTATTGTATCGCTTCGTTCAGCTTTTTTAGTCTTCTCACTTTTACGAGATTTTCTAAATTTTTCCAAAAATCATTTCCCATTTAAATGATGAACATTCCAAAATTTTCATCTGAATGCAAAATGACACTTATTTTTTCCTTCCATAGCAACTTGTTTACTTCCATTAAAAACCAAACGAATCCAACGAAACAGGTCAAAAAAATCCAACCATTATCACAACATCTTATCATTCACTGATAAC